GGTCACTTTGAGGAGCTCCAGGTTCCTGGAGGTGCCCAGGTGGCTTTGAGGAGCTCCAGGTCACCTTGAGGACCTTCAGGGCACCTCTAGGTCACTTTGAGGACCTCCAGGTCTCCTTGGGGACCTCCAGGTCACCTTGAGGAGCTCCAGGTCACCTTGGAGAACCTTTGGGTGATCTCCAGGTCACCTTGAGGACCTCCAGGGCACCTCGAGGACCTCCAGGTCACTTTGAGGACCTTCAAGGTCACCTTGAGGAGCTCCAGGTTCCTGGAGGATCTCCAGGTGCCCTTGAGGAGCTCCAGGTTCCTGGAGGATCTCCAGGTCTCCTTGGGGACCTCCAGGTCTCCTTGGGGACCTTCAGGTCACCTTGAGGACCTCCAGGTGGCTTTGAGGAGCTCCAGGTTCCTGGAGGACCTCCAGGTCTCCTTGGGGACCTCCAGGTCACTTTGAGGACCTCCAGGTCTCCTTGGGGACCTCCAGGTCACTTTGAGGACCTCCAGGTCACTTTGAGGAGCTCCAGGTTCCTGGAGGTGCCCAGGTGCCCTCGAGGACCTCCAGGTCTCCTTGGGGACCTCCAGGTCACCTTGAGGACCTCCAGGTCACTTTGAGGAGCTCCAGGTCACTTTGAGGAGCTCCAGGTCATTTTGAGGACCTTCAGGGTGACTTTGAGGACCTCCAGGTCACCTTGGAGACCTTCGGGTGATCTCCAGGTCACTTTGAGGAGCTCCAGGTTCCTTGAGGACCTTCAGGTGACCTCGAGGAGCTCCAGGTTCCTGGAGGACCTCCAGGTCTCCTTGAGGACCTCCAGGGTCACCTCGAGGACCTCCAGGTCACTTTGAGGACCCCCAGGTGCCCTCGAGGAGCTCCAGGTCACCTTGAGGAGCTCCAGGTCACCTTGGAGACCCTCAGGTGATCTCTAGGTCACCTTAGGGATCTCCAGGTCACTTTGAGGACCTCCAGGTCTCCTTGGGGACCTCCAGGTCACCTTGAGGAGCTCCAGGTCACCTTGGAGAACCTTCAGGTGATCTCCAGGTCACCTTGAGGAGCTCCAGGTGCCCTTGAGGACCTCCAGGTCACCTTGAGGAGCTCCAGGTCACCTTGGAGAACCTTCAGGTGATCTCCAGGTCACTTTGAGGATCTCCAGGTCACTTTGGAGACCCTCAGGTGACCTTGAGGACCTTCAGGTCACTTTAAGGACCTCCAGGTGGCTTTGAGGAGCTCCAGGTCACCTTGGAGACCTTCAGGTGATCTCCAGGTCACTTTGAGGAGCTCCAGGTCACCTTGAGGATCCTCAGGTCACCTCCAGGTCACTTTGAGGACCTTCAGGTGATCTCCAGGTCACTTTGAGGACCTTCAGGTCACCTTGGGGACCTCCAGGTTCCTGGAGGAGCTCCAGGTCACCTTGAGGACCTTCAGGTCACTTTGAGGACCTCCAGGTGGCCTTGAGGAGCTCCAGGTCACTTTGAGGACCTTCAGGGCACCTTGGGGACCTCCAGGTCACTTTGAGGAGCTCCAGGTTCCTCGAGGACCTCCAGGTTCCTGGAGGAGCTCCAGGTCACTTTGAGGATCTCCAGGTTCCTGGAGGATCTCCAGGTCGCTTTAAGGACCTCCAGGTCACCTTGAGGACCTTCTGGTCACCTCAAGGATCTCCAGGTCACCTTGGGGACCTCCAGGTTCCTCGAGGAGCTCCAGGTCTCCTTGGGGACCTCTAGGTCACCTCGAGGACCTC